GTTTCGAAAAATCTAATGCTGTAACGCGACTCTGTGGTACTTTTAAAGCAAGCTAACAAATAAATTGCTCTTTTAGACAAATATTCGAAGTACTCAGTTTCTTTCGCAAAAAAACAATTTCACTTTCTCTCTAAAATTTCAGAGTAAAGGATCAGCTATTCACTGCTCGTGTGGAGGAGCGAGCTCCATTGTTCTCACTTAAATTACCCGAAAAATTCCTCAAAAAACACTACCAACCTCGTTCTACTCTGGGTGGAAATGCGAATAGGTTAGTTTCTACGCAGTTTTTCTACAACAAACATATTAGCTTATTCAGAAGTTATTTACCCTATTTACATTACTTCGTTGTTAAAGACTGGTAACCACCAAAGACGTTGGTTTGACGCTTATGGATATCGCGTCTGTTAGTCCCATGGTTTTCCCCGAAGCGGACGAGATAGATGAACGTAGTATGTCAAAGAATTAACCTCCTAAATAATCTCCTCCTTTGCCAAATTTATCATTTAGTCAAAGCTACCTCTTTGCTAAGTTTTCCTTTACCAACATACCGATCATGCGACGATGCGATGATTCCTCCACATTTGTGCCTTTGCATGGACGAGAAAGCGATGCAGTCTGAAGAGTACCACAGGTATTGTACACATATGGTGCAGCGGTTAAAATTGCTTAAAATGACCTAAAACAAATCTAAAAGATTTTGTAGAAGTTTAATCACAAAGTGAAGTCCGGTAGGAGGTTGAGGCACAAGTTAGTGCATCATTATGCTTGCTTATTCAAAACCTTTAAAGTAATCGAAGCATTTCTTTGAGGAAAATAAGAACAATCTTGTTTGAAAAAATCTGATACAACCAATATGCGTGTTCTAAGTACATTATGTATTTGGATCTAGGCCACATCGATTTTGCCGCTCAAAATTTTGCATAGGCACAAATGATGGGACCAAGCATATTGAATTCTCCACAAAGGACTATGACGCAAGGCAAATGTCGAACAGAGGCTAAAAAGCGCTGCACGTACACTTTTCCTGCTGCATCCTTCTTACGGCTACGTTTCAAATCGCAGAATCCTATAATATAGTAGATTCTATATGCGTTTACGCGCATTCACACTCCCCATTCCCAAAAACTAAAAAATGCTCTGCAGCTTTGTGCATCCCACAACACAATATATGTTGTCCATGATTG